TACATCGTCTGAACGTAGAACTTGTTTTTGTCTTTTCTTTTGTGCTTTTTTAAAATGGCAGCGAGCAGAGAAGAAAAGGTGCACCATTTCCACGCTCTCTGTCAAACTAACCGCTGCTGGGGGGAGGGGAGGGGGCGAGGGTTTACTCAACAGAGAGCAGGGGCGGGCCATACACACATCAAGTAGGTGCAGGGTAATATGAAAATCAGAGAGAAGAAGATGTGCCCGCACACGTTCTTAAATGCCACAAAAACTTCGTCAGCTGAAGAAGATCTCTGGTCTTCAGAGCGAGTGAGCCGGCAATTTCTTTCTCTCCAAAGTTGACTCAACACCCAGTTTGAAATCTTGATAAGTGAGTCACTGAACCGATCGCATTCATGTTAAATCATACGGCAAAATGTTATGACTAGTGCTGTCAATCAATTAAAAAATAATCTAATTTTTAAAGGCTTTGTAAACAATTATTTGCATATATCGGTAAAATGAGAATGATTACATTAAAGGTAGATTTACTGCATAACTCTGTTTCCACCTGGTTTTATCCTCTTCTTCTCTGGTTTATTTGGCAGATATTGATGCAGTATACACGGAGAACTGAACAACACTTTACCAATGCACTGCTCCACAGCATTTATAGCAAATGCTAATTTCCGCTGCCTGTCCCTTTAAGCGTCCACATTTTAATGTGACTCCTTTTTTCATGTTATCAAAAGTGAGAGAGTGAAAGTAACAATTCACTTCTCATCAAACTAACGCGTTGTTTTGACAGCCCTAATTATGACAAAATGTATTTAGAAGTTTCGGATAATGAACGTCACTCAGACATGCTAAGAACTGGATCGGTACTCCTAAGATATCTAGCTTAAAAAAGCGGGGGGTGGTGTTGTTGTTGACTCACATGCCGAAGCGCAGAGTTCCTGACACGTATGTCTGCCAGTGGGCGCAGTAGAACATGAACATCCCGGCGAAGCAGCAGAAGAACATCCAGTCTGGGTTGGTTCCCATTTGAACGGCTATACTGGTTCCCAACACCACAAACACTGCAGAGAAAAACACGAGGAACACGAGGCCTGTGATGAAAAGAGCTTCAGATTCACAGAGACACACAGACCAAAGAGGAAAACAACTGACCGGTGGAGAGGGAGTCACAGCCGTGGTCAAACAGCTCCCCCAGTGGAGAGCTGCTGTTGGTGCGTCTGGCCTGCTTCCCGTCGATGGCATCAAGTGACTGGTAGATAAACAGACCCACGGCACAGAGCAGGTACGCCCAGAGAGGAGCCTGCAGGAACACACACATCAAAGAAACACTCAAAAACATGAAGCTAACTGCAGGTTCAGAGCAGCTAGCTTTCATCATAATGGTGTGTGCGGCTTAACGCTGCTAGCCAGTTAGCCTGTCTCTGCTGAGGCTAAATCCCTGCAGATATTATTCATAGGAGGTTGCGCTGTAACGTTAAGCTGTGTTGTTATCAGTGTCATCGTTGTCCAGTGTTTAGCAGCTTTAACAGAAAGTCGTCTAACCCAAGTTATGCCTCAAGCTTGAATTCAAATAAATAAACAAATCTTACACCAAAAGTCGTCTCTACACTGGGCTGAAGACTTGAGAAAATCTGGCAATATTACTGAACCTTGTCAGTCGACAGGGTGCCTTTGTTTTGGCCATCCCTCTGCTTGTCAACAAATACACGCTGTCTGTGGCGGGAAGGCGTAACAGCACTGCAGTTACACTAGGAGACCTTTGGGGGCGCTAGAGTGCACCAAACCAAATTCCTACATAATGTTGCTATAAAGACCATTAGAAAGATATACAAAAAAGCATTTAGAAAAGCTGTAGTTAATAAACGCTGCCACGATAGTGACTCACCTGTTCGGTGGCAGTGGGGCAGTAGTAGACGAGCACGAGGGTGGTGAAGACATTGGTGGCGAGGCCAATGATGGTGATGAGGTTTGGGGCGATCCAGGAGGGGACTCGTCCCACCAACCACTCCCAGTAGCGCTGCATCAGAGGCTCCAGCAGGGAGCGGCCAGCACTGCTGTACCTGCAGAGACACAACAAAGCTGGTGAGGAGAGGACAGGAGAGATGTACGTGTTGCCCACAGTGAGACCTCAGGACCCTGAACCAGTCCGTCCACTCGCTCTGGAAAGACATCACATGTGTGCAGAGGGAGTTTAGATGGCGCAAAGAATGGATTTTTGCTCCATCTCCCGCACTGACTTTGCTCCAAAAAAAGTAGCCTGAGGGGGAACAAGATAAATCTGCTGAGCCCATACTATATTTGCATCTTTATCTGGCTTGTGTTTAAGTGAGATTTCCCCCCCTCAGGAATCAGTGATTTGAGCGGAGCAGCTCCGGGCAGCTATCAGTAAGAGGGAGAAGGCAACAAACAGCTTCATGGGCAAGAATCAAACTCTTCCCTGATGCGTTTAGCTCACATGCTAGAAGCTAATGTTAGCTCACTAAAGCAGCTACAGGGTCGAGGCATCCACCATTAAAATACAAGGAGGTCGTTCCAACTATAGTCTGTAAATATTAATGGGCGAAGCCTGAGTGACGACACCCATCTGTTCCTGCAGGGGCTCTGGAGGCTCATCAGCAGCAGCCGCCATGTTGGAAATCCTGTCTCAGCCTAACTTTCAGTCAAACTAACGACAGGCTTGAGAGCTGGAGCTGAGACCTATATCAGAACTATTTTGTTTTTTGGTAGCAGGCTGTAAACATGTTTATTTCTGCTGTAAAAACGGGCATGCAGTGAATCTCCTCATTTGCTGTCAAGATGACGTTAAATATCTCCACAGAGAATAGAAGAAGAAGAATAGCTTGACTCATTCTGTCAGTGGAGCAGGTGTCACTGGTTACCTGTGCTCCTCGAGTCTCTTGAGCTGGTGTCGGGACAGGGGGGGTGAGGGCAGCTCGATAAGCCTGCGCAGCACTCCGGGGGCCAGCCAGCAGGCCGCCTCCATGCCCATGCCCTGCCCGGGTTCCTTCTCCCGGCCAAGGCTTCGGCGAGAACGCAGGCCCCCCCCTTGCTGCTGCCCCGTCGCACTCATGGAGCCCTGCTGCCTGCTGGTCTGGTCCCCGATGGGTCTGGCTCTGGCTCTGCCACTGTCCTGCCGGAGGGGCTAAAGATCCACAATGGGGCTGGAGGAGGCAACACCTGGAAAAAGAAGACCACATAACTTTACTGTCCTGTGATGACATCATATAAATAAATACAGCTCCACAAAACCGAGGGAACGGCTGGAACCTGAACCTGTAAGATGAATATGAGACAAATTCCCAGATAACCAATATGAGGGCGGATAATGTTTATGTTGTAGCAGGAATTAAAAAAAAAAAAAAAGAATGTGTTCATGTTGACTGTGCACCAATAAGAGTTTTGAGGGCCTCAGAAGGCAGAAAACGAACACACTCCCACCCCGCACTCTCAGGTCTGCAGATGCAAACCTCCTGTCCCCCCCCCTGCAGGACAAACCTTCGGTCCAGAGGGGACAGGGCTTTCTCTGTCGCAGCTCCCACCCTCTGGAACTCACTCCCAAAAAACATTAGAGACTCCCCCACACTCACCCCCTTCAAGAAATCCCTCAAAACTCACCTCTTCAACACTGCTTACAACCACTAACTCGCCTCCTCCCCCCTACATTACTTCTTCATTGTACTGTCCTCGTCGTTTTTTGTTTTTATGGTTTTATATTTTGTCAAAGCGTCTTTGGGTTCCTAGAAAAGCGCTATAAAAAACATATTATTATTATTATTATAACACATTGTCAGTTCTATTGCAGACCATCGTCAACACAGGAGTGACTGGAATAAAAAAAAATCTGAATCTATTATAATCTCGGTGACATTTGACCCATGTGTAAATAACTTTGTTTACGGAGATTTAAATAGCGATTTAAAGTGTGCGTCACCATTCAGCTCAAACATATCATGATGTTTTGTTTTGTGTCCTCGTCGTTTGGAGCTGGGTAAATAATTTAGTTCAGTAGATGATCCAGATTAAACGATTATTGCGCCTCAACGTTGCCCTCATTTTGTTTGTAGGTTTTGTCGCAAGGTAAATGTTTCCAAGTGTTTGTTGTTATATTTTGGACACAAGCGTTCAGAAACACTACCAGAAAATTAAATTATTGTTCACTTCCTTCTTCAAAGTGTTTAAAGATGTTTGATAAACAGCTTGTTGTAAAATCAAAGAGCATGTTTAATAACCGTGATCAGGGTTGCCCCCCCTCCCCTCCCCTCCTCAAACCAGTGGACACCTCTGGGTCTGAAGCTGTCCTGTCACAGATGTTGTGATATAATGATCATCATCACAGGAGTTTGTTCACATTAAAGTGAAAAGCCATGAGAAGCTATAAAGTGGATTTAACGAGCTGTTAACTATGAAGAGATAAAAGCTCCTCTTCATGGACCGTATCTACTGCCCCTTGTGACTGTCAGCAACACATGCGCTGCTGCCAACAAACAAACAAACAAACAAACAAACAAGCTGCTCCCTCGGATTTGCTAACGCTGCCTGTCAGTACTGCTGATGTTAGCATTAGCATTAGCTGGTCGAAACGTCCGCTTCGCTTCGTAGCTGCGGAAGACTCGTCTCAGTTTAATTATTTAAAGTGAATCACTCGCTGCTGGCTTGAAATCACCTCTGCATACACACATTGCTTTAAATAGCCTTGCGTTTTTAGGAATATTGTTTAAATCAGACCACACTGTTGACACGTCCGGTGAAGATTGCGGCTAGTCCGAGCTAGCCTGACATGCTAACCCAGAGACGGCTAGCTAGCTGCCGACCTGACGGACTGACCTGGCCGAGTTAAGGACGAGATCAGCGGGTAGAACCAAGGGGCGGTGAGGGAGCTTCAAGTCGACAGACAGGACCCCGCTGTGGACGCTGAGTTTCGGAGTTGCCCCTGTCTGACTTCAACACCGGAACGACGTTTAGAAGCTGCAGGTGGAAACACCTCGACCGGTGTCACTGAGGCTGTCACAGCGAGCTAGTTCACGTTAGCCGACACGGAAGTCTCGCGTTAGCTGACACGGAAGTCTCGCGTTAGCTGACACGTTTGCTCGTGTTATCGCTCTGCCCTCCGTTTGATCTTAGAGGGAGGTGAGCGCCTTCCTTCTTCCCTTGTAGGTTTGTGAATGCTTTTATTTGTGGACTTCTTCTCTTTTACATTTAAGTGAAAAAAGTTTTTTGGGGTGTTTTTTATGGAAGACCGTTTTAACAATGTTTCATTCATTAGAGTAAATATCTGAAGACTACGGAGCCCATGAAGTCACGAAAACTAAACAAAAAAAAAAAATCTTGAATGCAAAAGTTAATCTAAAAACTAGTTAAAGTTAACTATTTTTGTGTGTGCATGAAAAAAAGCTATTTTAATCTTTATTATAACGACAAGAGTTATGAGATTATGGCATAAAACACAATTGCATTTACAGCCTGTCTTGTCCCCGCTTGCCTTTATAAGAAATGTGACATATAATTTGTTTGTCTTTCCCTGTCTGTATTTGTATTGTGTTTAAATTGGGTCTGATTTTATTGTTGATGTTGTGTATCCCTCCCCCTTGTGGGACTCTGAATCTAACACTTGCTATCCCGCTGTCTGCAGTTATCAGGCTGATGTAAAAAAAAAAAAGAAAAATCAAACAGAGAAGATGAATCAGCGAGAGGTCGTTTACAATCATCACCAATGCCTAATTCAAAGTGCTTTATTGGCATGACAGTTCAAAATCAAACTTTCCAGAGCATCAAGTTCAACATGTCCAAATATAAAGACAGTACACAATCACAATAAACACACAGGTTTCATTAAACATATCAGTATGTTTCTGTTTCTCTATTTCTGTGTCTCTTATTTCTGTTTCTGGAAAAAAATGAGTCCCCATGCTCTAAAACATTTGTACTTTTTATTTGTATTGTCCATCTCTCGACATCAGTGTGATGTGAACAGTGATGACAAACAGTGTTTCTCTTAAATCCACCTTCATGATGCTGAAAACCTTCAGGACTACAATATGTTATCTGCTGCAGTGAGAGAGTGAGGAGGAGAAAAAGCAAACAGGTCACCTGACGTTAAACGTGTCTGCAGCTGGACAGAATTCTGAGCAGTGTGGATGTTATTGTCGTTGTGCCGTCTACGTTTTATTGATAAAATAAAAAACAATAAATCTTTTTGTATGTGTATGAACAGTAGCTTCATGTTTGTGCATCAGTGTGGTGTCAGGGCTCTCTGTCGGGCAGCTGGGTCAGGTAGGGATTGTTAAAGAAGTCTCTCAGGAGGCTCTGGACACGGCTGGGTTGGGGGCTCTCGGCAGCAGGACTCACAGGCAGGTTCAGGGACTTTGAGGGGTTGAAAGAGGCAGATCGGGTCTGAGCTGTGTGGAGACCCTCGATGGCGCTGGACAGCCAGATGAGTCTCTTGAGACTCTGAATGTTTTGGCTGCGGTCGTGCATCAGCTGGTGTTCGGTTACAGCTCGACGACTGCAGAGAGAGAGAGAGAGAGAGAGAGAGAGAGCAGAGGTTCTGTTAGTTCTGTTAGTTAATTCATCATTAAAGGGACAATACAAAAATACATCAGATTTGTTCTCAACTTCACCTACATCACATAACTCACAAAGTCTTCCAGGGCGAGTGGACGGATACCTGTTCTCACCTGAGCGACCAAAGATATCTGACTTCTTGCTAAAATTGCTCTAACATAAAATTCAGTAATGTAAATGTGCTTGAGCTGAACACACGTCTGTAACTTGGGGAGGCTGTGGCTCACTGGTAGAGTGAGTAGTCTCTCAACTGGAAGGTTGGGGGTTCAATCCCCAGCTCCTGTAACAACATGTCCAATGTATCCTTGGGCAAGACAATTGACCCAAAGTTACTCCCGCTGCTTCGTCGGCGTGTGAATGTGTATGAATGGATGAGTTACTTCTGATGGTCACTTCACACAGCAGCCTCTACCATCAGTGTGTGAATGTGTAGATGTGACCTGCGGTGTAAAAGCACTTTGAGTAGTCAGAAGATTAGAAAAAAACTACAAACTCAAGTCCATTTAAAATTTGTTTTTTTAACAAACTTATAATTTATTCCTCTCATATCCAGCAAGTCATTTATGTCTGGCCGTGTTCACACTGCGTGGAAAATGAATTCTATGGATGTATTATGTTTCCAGATTCCTCAACATACAGCTCTGTAGCCCAGAGAGAATTCAACAACAACAACGACGTCATCATTTAAACCTGTTGTCGGGTGGAGGGAGGCAGACAAAGAGAAAGGTTGAATATTTTCTGTGGACCATCTCAACCATCTTGTAGTTGTCATAAGATTTCCTTTTGTCACTTTTATCTAATAAACCGTCCATACTTATATTGGACTCTGTTTTTCTTTGGGTTTTTTTTCTAAGTGATTGCATCAAAGTTACCAGTCTTCTTATTCTCTTAGCAGCAGAAATAGCTTTGAGTAGTTGAGCGCATTCTTGTCACGGATGAGTGTTCTCGTTTGTTGCAGACTTTGCTCTTGTGCAATGAGTAAACAGGCAGAGTGAACGCTGGTGGACACGAAGACGAGCTCGACAGGATTTTCTACTCACCAAAACAAACTGGAGCACAGATTTCTTGTGCCTGTTAGTGCAACAAACCGCAAACAAACCAAGCCAAATTATCCCTCCAAACATTCGCTTTAAAAGATATCAGGCAGACAGCTAGCAGCGTCCACGTTCCAGTGACAAACTTGAAGCCTTAAAATATTTTTTAATGGGTTAGTTAGACAAAAATTCAGCCCTCGTTGTACTGAGTAGTGAAAGAAGATAGAAGCTAATACAGTTTTTTTTTTGCCAGGATGTAATCATATTTAGTCCTGTAGTAAAGTTTTGTACCATTGCAGTCTTTTGGCATTGACTCACTTTTGTAGCCAGCCTCTACTGGCCACACCAGGAACTGCAGTTTTTAAACTTTTCAGTCTGCAGGTTTCTGTTGATTCTAACGATTAATATTAACAATAGATGCATACACGCTGAGTCATTTTCTTTGGCTGTTATTAGTTTTTTGTGTCAGAGTAAAAGCTGATATTCTAAACAGCAGTATGTTTTCCCTTTCTCTTTTTGACTTTGCATATCCTGCACTAATGTGCTCGCTACAGTCGGGGGTGAAAGCAGTTTTAAATTCTTGTCCCAATGATACTACAACCTTCATAACCACAAGAATTTTTGGAATTTAGTTGAAATCTTTTCGTATTGGTTCTATCCCAGTGCAAATGACATCAACAAAGTCATTGGTCTAGTCGTAGATAAATCAAATGCAGCCTTTCACAAGCCTTGTTTTTAAGAACTAAAAAAGGATGAGGTCAAGTGTTGGCGCAAACATTTTGAAAAATTTTGTTTTCCCCTTTTGATCTTGATTTAATTTATATTTATCAATAGAAACTGTTTTGGGTAGGCTGCTGTTTTAAAGTGATATATTCCTCTCAGATGCACACCAAACGCTTCCTTCTGCTGCTGCATTTATAAAATCACTCCACTGTATTCTCCCAACGTGATAAAGAAACAGCCTTCACAGTTTGCACTTTGAGATTCTGTGTCTCACCTCTTGTTCTGTTCACACTGTCCGGATGTGGAGACGATAAGAAGCATGACAGCGAGCCACTGCACAGGTCTGTGAGATGTCTGCATCTTCTGAAACACAGCAGCACAAAGCACTTGCATTAAAACTCAAAAAAGATGAAGAAGAGGGAGAACTACAGAACAGTTCTAGGGTTTCTTTTAGTCATAAACATGTGAAACTTAAACAATATGTAGATTTATTTACCTTTTCTTTTCATATTTGTGACTTTATTACAGGTGAAGAAGTTTAATCATCCACCAGAAAATAAAGCAAAGTCAGTGTTCTGACATTTCTACATTTGAAAACTGAAACAATCAGCAAGGTTAATAAAAATGGCAAATTGCAAAGGGTCGATTTGATCGATTTGATTGGTCGATTGAGAACTGCTGGTTTGGATCATAGCTCAATCAACTCGTATCAAACAGACCTTTCTTCTGCACGTCTTAGACCTCTACCACACCTGGACCCGAGAGTTCACAGTAATTTAACCCCAGACGTGCAGCCAATCAGAGGCTGACAAAGAAACATGTGACATATTCATCATCATTTATTTAAAAGCTCGGAAAACAAATCGAGCAATAACTCTCATTTTGTAAAGTGTCGAGGGTCAGACAACAGCGTAGACACGACCTCGATATCAAAGACAGTAAAAACATGGACACTTGGTTAAAGATCAGAGCAGAAGAAAAAAACGATGAAAAATTAAAAACAGAAACAAGAAGCACGACTCAGACGTAGAAATGAGTGAGTGAGGCACAATGTCAGGAAACAAATCCGTCCCTAACTGTGTGTGAACGACATGTTTCAAACGAGGTAAGAGGCAGAAAAGGAGCTTCATAATAAAGTGCGGCTGTGTTTCTGATCTCTCCTCATGAACAGAGACAGAAGAATGATTCATTAGCTGCTTTAAGGAACCCAACAAGTTCAAAGTTTGATCCAAAGGAAACTGGACTTTGGTTGAAGCTCTTGAAGACGTTTCACCTCTCCTCCTCTGAAAGGCTTCTTCAGCTCCAGATAGTTTACAGCTGAAGAAGCCTGTCGGAGGAGGAGAGGTGAAACGTCTTCAAGATCTTCAACAAAGTACAGATGCCTTTGTATCAAGCTTCAAATGTACCCCAACCTGGATGACTGAGAACCAACAAAGCAGAACAAATATCAAGTAAGAAGGATGCTAAAGCAGCAACATTAACATCCCAGAATAACCTGAGTTTGTTTGACTCCATCCTGCATTTAATCACCCCCAAAAAACAAATTATACAAAAATATAAAGATGCTAATTTTCCCTTCCTGAATTAATATAAACAATTTTTAGATCTGAGGGACCAAAATTGTAATTTGGTTCAGTTCATATTTAATTTAAATTAGATATTGCTTTAGTTTTAAAGTAGAAAACACATCAGATGGGTTGATACATTTATTTTTTATTTTTTAAAATCTTAATGGAAAATGTTGTCATCATTTGTGCCTGAAAGCTGTATGTTGTCCGTACAGACGTGGAGGATAAATCTGCTTTTATACAGAAATAACTTCAACAGAATAAAAGAAAACAAGGATCACACAGTACAAAAAATATACAAGAATAAAAACTATAACAAATATGATCAAATTTTGTATAAATATGGAGAAAGAAAAACACACTTGCGTCGTTTAAAGGTACTCACATTGTCTCTGTTGTCGACACACAGCAGCTCCTCTGATGATCCGACACCTAAACTGACTTCAGGTTCGACCTTTCAGACCTTTTATAAAGCCCCCTGACACACACACACACACACACACACACACACACACACACACACACACACACCACCCCCCTTGGCTTATGGAATCAGACTAATTCAAAGTTTGATTTGCTGATGAGACGCACGTCAGCACCCTCATCTCTCTGACAGCAGATTTTGTGTCTGCAGAGTGAAAATATGAAACATTTTTGGGGGGTTTATTTATGTTAACGCAATCCTAATCTGTCTCCTGCACCTCAGAGCAACAGAGAACAATGTTTACACACACACACACACACACACACACACACACACACACACACACACACACACACACACACACACACACACACACACTTTACATAATCAGGTGATTTGAAAAGGAGGATAAAATTCAATTGAGGGATTATCATTTTTCCATTTTCTAGTCTAATCCGCTTTCTTTTGGAGAGACTCAAAGTGGAGAGAATAAAAAAATGGGGTTTCATAGTTGTGTAGGTGTTGAGGCTGCAGACACACACACACACACAGACACACACACACACACACACACACACACACACACACACACACACACATACACACACACAGACACACACACAGGGATGAGTCAGTTTGTATAAACTGAGCGTCAGCAAACTGTCCGTCACTTCAGGTTTAAACTTTTCTAAACTCGCTCTCTGTGTAGTTAAGATGCTTGGCGCCTGGAGCTACTCTTTCCGGCTCTCTGACATCACAACACTAATTAACACACAAATGTACCGCAGACTCCGGTTGCCATGGTGTCACCTCACTACCTGACAGGGACGCAGTCATCCTGACAACAACCTAACAGGGCGAGTTTCCCTCACACAGAAATGTGGGCTGCAATCAGAGGAGGAGGTTTAGTGATTTAGTCCATTAGAGAGTGAATGACGGCGGTTTGAAGACATTCAAAGACAAAAGGAGACGGACAGAGAGGACAGAATGCAGAAGAGATGAAAGAAAAAGAGAATGATCCAATCAGCAGATGGAGTAGGCTTGAGGCCGATCAGATCAATGTTTTTACTCACGGTCAGTTCAACATCAGATCCTGGATCAGTAATATATTTACTCCTATTTGAACATTTTGACAAAAGAGCTTCATTTTTATTTATGTCCTCAATTAAAGGGGACATATTATGAAAAATCCACTTTCACAGTGTTTTTTAACATATATTTGGGTAACCTGAGTGTCTTCTGACCCACAAAATGTGAAATAAACCCACCCAGTCCTTTGTTTGTGGTCTGCATAAGTCTTACAACACAGAGAAAAATGCTCCGTTTCTAATTTGCTGTCCTTGTGACGTCACAGTGGGATTCTGGTACAAAAAAATCCCCTCCCTCCCTGGTATCTCCACCACCAGCCTAGAACAAAACTTTTGCACAGGTTTACCATTTTTATTTCGCTAGTGTAGGAGTGATGTCTACCGGGAAAACTCAGGGGGGTCATTGCATTTAAAGAGACCACACACCAAAACTGAGCGTTCTGAGAGAGCTGGTTTATACAGGGTCACAAACCTCCTCTGGTGCTTGATTCATGTTGTATTTGACCAAAGCACTGAACAGATATTTCATTTAGACCACAGGGGTGAACTGTTTGAAAAGTAAATATATCCTTTTAAACATCTTTTAACCAGGAAAAAACTCAAAATCTCTTTTCCAAGACTCAGGGGTGTCCAGAATTATTGGAGTGGGGTGGCCCAATTGGCGAACTGACTTGTGCAGGGATGGCCTGAAGTTTCTGACACAGACATGAATGAAGAACATTATTTACTCTTTTGTCAGCAGTGATAACATTTTAAGAAACACAAGATCATGCAATATATTCATCTTCTAAGCTTCATTCTTTAAAGCATCCAGTGAGACCAGTTCCTGTTCCAGCTCTTTTGTATTTCATTCCAAGTAAAGAGAGAGCGTACATAAGTTCTTATTCCCTCAAAGATATTTTCAATTATTGAAGAGATTAACCTACTGCTCATTTCTTATTATCTCTCTCTGACTCTCGCTCACACCCCTCTTGTACTCTGTAGTACTAGAAATCGGTCTAGGTCTCAAGACGGTACGATACCACTCTTTGAAGTTTGTCTTGAATCAAAAAGCATTTTTTAATCGGCTTTGTCTCGGTCTCAGACTAGGCGGACTCTGGATTTTAAATCAAGACTGTCAAGACCACCACTGAATGGCTATTTTTCCACCTCATCATTGTGATTAGAAGGAAACTCCTCTTTCTAAAAGAAGAAATGTATTCATAATTAGATTTTCATCCCCTGTTTATCGCTCAACCTTCTGGTGTTACGTCTAAGAGAGTGACACACTCAACGTTGCACACAAGATGACGATTTTCATTGATATTTATGGTTTGGTCTTGGTCTTGGTCTTGTCTTGGTTTGTCTCAGTCTCGTCCTGCCTTGGTCTTGGTCTTGAGTCGGCCTCGATCCCTAAATGTCTTGGTCTCTGTCTTGGAGCACTCCTGGTCCTGGGTATGTCTCGTCTCAGTTAGTGTGGTCTAGACTTCAACACTACCCTCTTGCTCTCTCTCTTTTGTCTGAGGTATTTATTGACTTTTTCTGGTTTCTGGTTTTCTGGTGTTGAATTGTTGACTTTACCCTTGAATTTTTTGTTTCGTTTTGTGTCAGTGTGAAGGCATGAGGAAATGTTTTCTTTAAATGCGTCTGAATAATCCAGATGGGACGTGTTGAGGCCAAAGGAAAATAAAGATTCATTCATTCATATTTGATTGAAGTTTTCTCAATCGTTGCCTTTATTTGATAGGACAGTGGATGTCGAAGGGGAATGACATGCGGGAAAAGAGACGCAGGTTGGACCAGAATCTTGGCCGCCCGCCTGGAGAACCACAACCCATACATCCTAACCGCCAGACATCTGCAGCCATCATAAAGGTCTTTATAATCTGCGAGTTTAAGACGAGACAAGCAAGATGGCTGCTGCTGAAGTGGAACAGTCTGAATCTCCAGTGTGAGTATGAAGGAAGGCTGAAATTGTTTTGTGTAAGAAAACTGGAAGCAGTAAGAATTGGATGTGGAAACTAGCCACCTAGCCTAGCAACATAACGCTAATGTACTTTATTTTTTTAATCTAATTGGCTGCGGGGGCATTCAGCTTTCAACCATTTAAAACAACCGTGAGATGAGAAAAAGGAACAGAGAGGTTTAGAGTAATCTGAAGATGACAGACCTCTAAAGACTTTCTAATTCATTTATGCCCTGCCTCCATGTTCTCTTCCTTTTGTACTGCGGCCTGTGATGGGAAATCAATCACAACGCATCTTGAAGGACGTCTCAATTCCTGAGAGCATTCGTGAAAGCAAAGGTGTTTCCTTTGTAGGACAAATAAAAGAGGTGTGACACATATTTGAAATAAGCAAGAATAGAGAGAGGCCTACAGTATACAAAATATAAATGATCAGCGATGTGCTCATGTGAAAGAGATGATAAAGAGGCAAGGAGGGCAACTGTTTGGGCCGCAGGTCATTAGGCTAACCCTGAGGGCTCCAAGACTTTAAACCACAGCA